GAATCCTGATTTATTGACCCTCCCATTGCTGTGCCTCCTTTCCTTTCCCTGATTTTTATGGCTCCAAAAGAGAGATGTTTAACTAGAGTCCTAACCAAGCACACATCTCCTCCATTCTGTGCATCAGCGGGGGCAATTCAAGCCCTAGGATTATTGCTTAGCAACCTAGAATGGCCTGCCGTGCTAGGGGAGCACTAGCAGGCTGCAATGAATAGAGAGGACACCCTAGTTTATTTGTGGGTTAACGAGCCATTATAGAACGGTGGGTACTAAGTAGCTTTCTTTCTTTAGCACTACCCTTAAATCAAGCAAGGGCATACATTCTTTGGCTTGTGCTAGACAGATTAAGGGGAAAGCAAGTACTTTCAAGCCTGCAGAACTGAAAGAATTGCTCTTCCATACTTTTTTAAAGGTAAAAATAAAAGGATTATATACTATAAGTATTATGACTATTTTATTTTTGTTTTCTGTGGCTGTGTTAAGAATACCCCGACACAGGACACTTGAGGGAGAGAGAGTTCAGTGGCTCACTATTTCAAGTCACAGTCTGCAGAAACGTCAAGGTGCAGGACCTCCAAGCAGCCGGTCATATCACATCCACAGGGGAGAGCAGAGAGCAATGAAATTAATGCATGAACTCCAGGGCTCAACTGGCCTTTCCACTCTTCTATAGCCTTGGATCCCAGCCTAGGAGTGACCCACCCACAGTGGCCAGGCCTTCCCACCTCATTATGCAATCAAGATAACCCCCCACAGGCATGCCTAGAGGTCGAAGTAGTTCCAGATTTTGTTCAAGTTGGCAATCAACTCTGACCATCAGAGTGACAAAACACAGTGCAGACATACCCTATCTTCTCCCCTACCAACTGACCACTTATTTGCAAATCCACCTGACATATGAGGGAGCTGTATGCTACCCCTCCTTGACTTCCTCCGATTGGAATAAGTGATTTGGCCACAGAAGAAATAAAAACCTGAAGAAGGTTCATAAATACCGTCCACCATTAGACCCAGGACATTCGATAGATGGGCTTTCAAAGGGTTTTCTTACAGGCTATTTGATTTTTTTTCCCTTGGGAAAAAGGATAAAATTTATTCTTCCGAGTATTGATTTTTCTGCAGTTTTTTTTTAAAGCAGCAAAGCCTTTTTCCAATGAAATCTTATAATGCTCTCCAATTATGTGAAATAAATTGAAGCATAACTGCTCTGGCCGCAAAGAAGCTTAAAGTCCTGTGGATTCTGAAGCTCCCTTTTAGGAACCTGAGCATTACAACTCAAAAAGCCACTCTCCCACAGCGGGGATTCTTTTTTTAAGGTTTTTTTTTATTTTTATTATTTATTCATGTGTATTCATGTCTGTGTGTGGGCATGGGCATGTGAGTGAAGGTACCTGAGGAGGCCAGGGGTATTAGGTCTCCGAGAACTGGAGTTATAGGTGGTTATGAGCCACACAACATGGATGCTGGGAGCTAAACTGGGGTCCTCTGCAAGAGCAGTACATGCTCTTAACCACTGAGTCATCTCTCCAGCCCCTACAACAAGAATGCTTACTCTTGTAGATGATGACTGGAATAAGTGGTTTAACCAGGGAGGAAATAAGAACCCAAAGGAAGGCTCCCAAATCCCATCCACCATTGGACCCAAGGTGCTCCAAAGATGAGCTTTCAAGGGTTTCTATGAATTGATACCAACCACTCTGGAAGTAACTGAATAATATTTCTTGCAAGTGAAATGCTTGTACTTGTGACCCTGTGTTTTGATACTTCTTGTTACTATAAAAAAAATAAAGATAGGCTAGGGTAACTTTAAACAGCATGAGTTCAACTTAAAAACAGGATAAATTTACTATTAACAATTATGGAGGCTGGAAAGTCTAAGGTCAAGCAAGGCACAAACGGATTTGATGTCTATTTGAGGGTTTAGTCTTTGGCTCCAGCACAGCACCTGGAGTGCAGTGTCCTCTGCAGGAGATGAGCACACTGTATCATAAGCGACACAGCAGACAACAAGGGCCCAGCCAGTTCTCTAGCCCATCTAACATTTTTTCATTTTTATTTTGTATGTTTGTGCCTGTGTGAGTCTGTATGTCCCACGCATGTGAAGGTACCTGGGGAGACTAGAAAAGGACATTAGGCACCCTGGAACTGGAGTTACAGGCAGTTGTGACCTCTCCATGGTGGATGCTGGGAACTGAACCTGGGTCGTTTGCAAGAATAATAAATGCTCTTAACCAGTGAGCGGGCTCTTCAGTCCCACTCTAGCCCTTCTGTAGGGTATTAATTCTTCCTTGAGGGCAGAGTCTTCCCCAAAGTCCCCACCTTTTAATACTGTCGTGTTGGATCTTAGGCTCTGATACACAGATTTTGCAGGGACACAAGCATACACACTGAGCACCCACCCTGAAGAACAATATCAGTAACAGGGGCTGGCGAGAAGGCGCAATAGATAAAGGCACCTGCCATTAAGGCTGACCACCTGAATTACATCTCCAGAATCCACGTGGTGGCAAGGAAGAACCAAACGTTGTTCTCTGAGCTCCATGAGCATACCACGACTATGTCACCCTCCACACACACTCACAAAATAAATAAAAGTTTAAAAAAAATCTTGGTAATATCCCTTAAAGAAACACATATAGAAAAAGATACATTGAATAATTTTTGTAGTAGGATTATTTATTATAAGAAAAAAGCTAAAAGTATCCCAATAGCTAACAAAATGAGAATGGATAAATACATTGTGATATAGTCATATAGTAAAATATTATCCCACAGTGAAAATCAAATGAAGTAGCTATACTTATCAATGTAGATAAATTTTCTAATTATAACATCAAGCATAAAAAGGCCATAGAATATACATGATATTAAATAATTATATAAAATTAAAAGTGAGAACAACATTATATCAGTTAGACATAATAAAATATATCAAAATACATGGAGATGATGAACATAAAATTTATAATAGTATTTCTCTCAAAGTAGAAATAAATGATAAATATTACTATGTAGGTAATTTTTCTTAAGCTAAAATGAGATATATGTCTATATATCATCTTTGCAAGTCTGAATATTTCCAAATAAAAACGGGTTTTTAAATAGCCACTACTAGGAGGTTATGGAGGCTCTGTGTCTTGTCATTTCATTGCAATTGTAGTATCTGTTGGGAGTTATTACTAATTAAAACATGTCTCAATAGCTACTTTTCCATCATATTAGAAATTAGTATAGACACATTTTCAGAGGTTTCTATTTTCTCCTACATCCACAAAATAACAGAAGCAAGATGAAGTAGCATAGCAACACGAAGCCATGATGCTGATGTGGGCACCTGTGCTCTTTTTCAGTGGATAATATCTAAAAAGTACGCCAAAGTAATTCATCTCCATAGCTATGTCAGAAAAAAAACCTTTAAGATTCCCACTAATTCTTCCCTCCCACTCACCCCAGCAATCACTGGAACAGAAGAAAGTATCTAGTAGCTCACTGGTCAGAGTGTGAGCTAGATATGGCCTGGGAACCCAGGGCCAAGCCAGTTCTACCAGAACCAAAGCCTTACGAGTCTCTGTGCTGACGTCATGACAAAATGGGTTGCTTTCCTTCTCAGTTACACTTTCAGAATTGCTTAGTTATATGTGTGTATTCTGCTCCACACTCACATGAATATATTTTATATATATTTTTTTATCTTTTACATCAAGTCCATGACCCATCATTCCTTCATTTTAGCAACATTTCTTTTCTTCTCTGAGTCATCTTTGCTCAATCCATCTCCCCAGATCCTCAGGACCATGGTCTAATCTCCCTCCGGTATCTTTTGTTTTTCTCTCTCCTTTACCTCCTGCTTCTCAGTCTCTAGTACACTCATCTGAAGGAAGGAAAGAAGGAAGATGGGGAAGGGAGGGTGGGAGAAAGTGGCGGGAGCTGGAGTTGGAGGTCAACCTTGTCTCAGAGACAGCTAGTGCACAGAGTCGCAGCAAGTCAATTATTTAATAAAGGCACCGAGTTGCTCAGTGGCTTCTGATTATGTCAATGGTGTACCAGAGTTCTTCTTTTGGGACACCAACCAGCTTCCAAAGCATGACACAGAGACTTATTTTTAGATTTGAATGCTTGGCCTTAGCTTAACTCTTTTCTGGTTAGCTCTTTTAACTTAATCTGTTTTTATTTGTCTACCTTTTGCCTCTAGGCTTATTAACTTTCTTACTTCTGTATATCTTACATTCACTGCTTCTCTAATGTCTGGCTGGCTGGTGTCTGCCTTGCTTCTTGCTCCAGGCATGTTCCCTCCTCCTTCTCTCATTCTTCCTCTCTGTCTCCTTCCTTCTCCTCTTCTTGCTCCTTGCCCTCTTCCCTGGATTTCTTCTCCTATTTATTCACTCCAGCCACCAGCCCCGCCTATCCCTCTCCTGCCTAGCTACTGGCCAGTCAGCTCTTCATTAGCCCAAACAGGTGTTTTAGACAGGCAAAGTAACACAGCTTTACAGAGTTAAACAAATGCACCCTAAAAGAATGCAACACATCTTTGCATCATTAAACAAATATTCCACAGCATAAATGGACGCAACACATCTTAAACTAATATTCCACAATATAAAAGCAAATGTTTTTATGGTTCAAATGATTGTTCTCAGGATTTTTGTTTTGATCGTGCTCCAGTAAACCATGTAAACGGATATAAAACAATTTTGAGGCTTTTGTTGTTGTTAAATATATTCTAAAGTCATCAATTAAACTCTATTTATAGTGTTTCTTAATTAAAAAATTACATATACGTGTATCTGTGTGTGGGTATGTGCACATGAGTGCAGGAGCCCACAGATGCCTAAGGCATTAGACTCTGGAGTAGTAGGTACAGGTCCCTGGGAGCTGCATGGTGTTGATTCTGGGAACCCACCAGGGTCCTCTGCAAGAGCAGTGTCAACTCTTAACCACTGAACCATCTCTCCAGCCCCCTATTTCTAGTATTTCTTACATTTAACTTTTTTTCTTCTCAGATGAGGACTCCCATGCAACTTTCAGGAACGTTGTGTTTCGAAAACCTGCACAAGTGATTCTTGGTTTAGATGAATACGAACTGAAGTTAAAAACACAGCAACCATGGAAGAAAAATTTTCATGAGATAGTAGAAGCAAGAGCCCAGATCATGCAGCAGAACGTGTTAGAGAAGGATAGCCTGAAGAAGGAACAAGAAAAGAAGACTGCAAAAAATCTCCCTAGGGATGACTTGGCCAAAGAGTGGTTTAATATCGAAAGCATGACACTAAGTCCCCGGGCGTACTTGCTGGACAAGCTTCTACCCACCTTGATTCCGGGAGTAGAACACATGTTAATGCAGGTAGAAAAGAAGAAACTCTTGAGCCGAGCTGACATCCCAACCAAGTTTGATCCAATAAATTATTTGGGGGAATATTTAATGAGAAATAATACTCACTATATCAAAGACCCAGGAATGTCGGGTTACCAGAGGGTGATGAAAGATGTCACCGAAGAACTGAAGGTACACGTTCCCGGTACAATCAGCAACAGGTACAGTTTGTTGTATGTTCAGTTGGTGATCTGTCTCTTTGCATTGAAAAGCTAATAGAACAATGATGTGAATGCAAATAGGACTTGAAAGAAATGATTTGATAGTTAATCAAGAAGCAGTTGTTGGCTGGTGGGGGGTGGGGTGGGGGCTCACACAGGTAATCCTAGCATTTGGGAGCTGAGGTAAATTTAGTTTCTTTTTAATAACTCTGAGTGGAAAAATTACTTCCTCTAACATACGTTTTTCTTTTATGCAGTTAGTATGTGGGTGCTGCACATACCCATGGCACATGTTGTAGGTCAAAGGACTACTTGTGGGAGTCAGTTCTGGTCCTCCAGCTTTTTGAGGCAGGGTCTCTCTTGTTTCTGCTGCTGAGCTATGCACTCCAAGCAAATTCAAGGTTACATATAGTAAGGCTCTGTACTAGTGAGTTCCTACTACGAGCTTCACTTTTTCAAAACGCTGCAGGAACTAATGAATTAAAAAGTTTGTTTTCGCCAGGCGGTGGTGGCACACACCTTTAATGCCAGCACTCGGGAGGCAGAGGCAGGCAGATCTCTGTGAGTTCGAGGCCAGCCTGGGCTACCGAGTGAGTTCCAAAAAAGGCGCAAAGCTACACAGAGAAACCCTGTCTCGAAAAACAAAACAAAAAAAAAAAAGAAAGAAAAGAAAAAAGTTTATTTTCAAAGCACTGCAAGGACTGAAGAATTAAAATAAGTTTATTTGTTTTGTTTTGTTTTTTGAGATACAGAGTTTTGCTTTGAAGTTCAAACTGGGCTTAAATTCAATATATAGTCCAGGTTGGCCTCAAACTCGTTGGAATGCTCCTGCCTCAGCCTCCCAAGTACTGGGATTATAGGCCTTGCTAGTTACTTGGATCTGATTGTCACATTAGGACTTCAAGTATATATTTATGTCTGTATTAGGCTCTGCCCTGGAGAGCAACCTAATTCAAAAGTCAAAATATGTATTTTAACTACATGCCTGCAGTAAGCCAGGCATGGTAGCACTCGCCTTTAATTTTAGCACTCAGAAGGTCAGGGACAGGTGGATCTCTGAGTTTGTGGCCAGCCTGGTCTACAGAACAAGTTCCAGGAGGGCCAGAGCTACATACTGAGACCCTGTCTGAAAAAAAAACAAAACAAAATACACAAAAAACAAAATGATGAATATAAAATTGTGCAGTAAAGCTAGGTGGTGGTGGTGGTGGTGGTGGTGGTGGCGGTGGTGGCGGTGGTGGCGGCGGCAGTGGTGGCAGCGGCGGCAGCGGCGGCGGCTATGCACGCCTTTAATCCCAGCCTGTGGAGCAGGGGCGGGTGGATCTCTGTGAGTTCAAGGCCAGCCTACAGAGCGAGTTCCAAGACAGCCAGGGCTACACAGAGAAATCTTGTCTCAAAAAACCCAAAACAACAACATTTATCTTTTTTTTTTTTTCAGAGACAGGGTTTCTCTGTGTAGTTTTACGCCTTTCCTGGAACTTACTTGGTAGCCCAGGCTGGCCTCGAACTCACAGAGATCCGCCTGGCTCTGCCTCCCGAGTGCTGGGATTAAAGACATGCACCACCACCGCCCAGCACCTTTTTTTTTTTTATTTATTTATCTTTTGTTATGCAGCTAGATTTAACTTTTATAGCATCCCATTTTTAGTCAGTCACTTATTAAAATATTACAAGAATTTGCCCACATATTCTTCTGCTCCTGTGGGTTTTTGTTTGTTTGTTTTGTTTTTTTGGGTTTTTGTTGTTGTTGTTGTTGTTGTTTTGAGACAGAGTCTCACTATGCAACCCTGATTAGCCTGGAACCTGCCATGTAGACCAGGCTGCCTTTGCCTCCTAAGTCCTGGAATTAAAGACATATACCACCACACCCAATTATGATACAAATTTTTATTTTAAATATATACAAATATAAAATAAATTTGTAATTTATGTTAGTATAATATGTAAGATTTTGATACAACTTCATTATTTTACAAATGACTACTTAGTAATCCCAATAAGACTTACTGAAACATCCCCACACCCAGCCAATGAACATCTTTAACAAGGACAAGCATTTCTGCAATTGCTATTTAACAGTTATTTATCTTTTTCTGTATCTATCACTGTTGACTTAAAGTTTTCATGTGTATACATATCCGTATTCCTTCTTCAATTTGTTGCAGGCTATCTTATAAATTTTTGTTGTTATTATAAGTGAGCTTCTTCTTTTGCTACATTTTTTGGGGGGTCTGGAAGTAATCTGATGACATTTTTAGAGGGTCTGGAAGTAATCTGATGACATTTTTGGGGGGTCTGGAAGTAATCTGAAGAAATGAAAACTATTAATTTCTATATACTTTTGTTCTCTGTGCCTTACTGAGTTTTCTCATAGTAAAATTGAATTGCTAAATTGGGTTTCCTAGGGAAACAACTATGCTGTCTTCAAACAATAGTCTTCCTTTTTATTCTTAATTTTTATGCCTCTAACATCTTTCTCTTATCTAGTTGCATTGACTATTACATCTAATTCAGGGTGCACAACAGTGGCTGTGTGCACATTCTTGTCTTTAATACCTTAGTAGAAATGGTTCTCATGTTACTGCTTCACCATCAAGAACTTACTTTATGTGTGGGTTCTATTCTATTTGGACCTAAAATCAAGTATTTTCTTACAATAAAAATAATATGTAGGGTCCTAGTTGAGGCGCTATTGATGGTTGATGGTTTCTGGGTTTGGGGACACAGTTTTCTTAAGGATGTGGCCCCTGGTAGGTTAACCATGGGATGGCCCCACACTTGTGAGTATATGGGCATCACCAACTGCACTCAATGTATTTTCTATATATGTGGAACATGAAATTGGGTGGGGTGAGGTGGGAGTGGAGCTGGGAGGAGTTAGGGGAAGGTATTAGGGGTAAATTAAAATACATTTTATACATGTATGCAATTCTTGAAGAATTAATAAAAATAGTATATTAAAAATTATTTAGGGCCTGGTGATTATTAGCTCAGGGCAGAGCATTTGCCTAATAAGAATACTCTGGCCTCAACCTTATGGATATTAGGATTATAGGTATGTATCATGGTGCCAGCTTTTGGATTTTATTTTTAACTCTGAACATTTGGGCTCTTAATAATATTGACATTGGCTTGCCTTATCCTATAATTTATATAGGATAGCCTCAAAATAATAATGAAACAAACCTATGTTTATAAAAACTAGTTCAGTTTTTAGTTTTACTCAAAGCTGTTTATATATTAAATGAACTCATATAAAACCGAAGAAAGCTGGGCATAGTGACTCATGCTTATAATTGCAGCATTTGAGAAAGTAAAGCAGTAAGATCACCATAAGTTTGAGGCCAGCCTAAGCTACGTAGCTTGTTTCAGGAAAACAAGCTTGGACTACAGAGTAAGACTTCATCTCAAAGAAAACAACAACAAAAACAAGCTCTGAGGAAACTAGGGTATGTTTATTTGTTTTATGTGTATAAGTGTTTTGCCTGTATGTATGTCTGTGCACCACGTGTGTACCTGGTGCCCATGAATGCCAGAGAGGACGTCAGATCCCATGAAACTGAAGTCACAGATGCTTATGAGCCTCCATGTGGGAATAGAACCTGGGTCCTCTGGAAAAGCAGTCAGTGCTCTTACCCTTTGAGCCATTTTTCTAGCCCCAGAAATCAGGATTTAAAATCTTCTATTTTTTACTGAGGAAAATTTTTTACTTTGCTAACAGCTTATTTTTAATCAGTATACGTAATAGTGGGTTTCCTTATGATATTTCCACACATTCATATTCCACACTTTGTTCTACCCATCCCCTCCTTACTTGCCCTTGGTTTTTTCTCCCTCCCAATTAGTTCCACTCCTCCTCTAAAATAGATAAAAACCTTTTTAACCCATGACTCAAAATCAAGAAATATTGGTACATTTGGTTACATAAATATTGAAATATTTTTGCTTGGCAAATTGTGTCACGACTACTCAGTAGTGCCGTTCTTGTACAAAAACAGTCACAGCCAACATGTAAATGAGTCAGCATGGCTGTGTGCCCTTGAAACTTTATTTATGGGTCATGAAATTTGAATTTCACATAATTTTCACATACCACAAAAATATTATTATTCTTTTGGTTTAAAAAATACCACTTAGAAATCTATCTACCAGCTTTCTAGCCACATAAAGCCAACCTGTGGGTCGGCTGGGTTTTGCTTACTGAGCCCTACTGTAAATGATATTTATGAGGCCTCTCCAAGATCTCAAGAGCAGTGAACTTCAAATCTCAGAACCTCTCCCCAAATTTTCATGTTTTTCTCTGAATGTCATCTGGTATGCAGACCTATACCAAAATTGATTTTAAAAATCCTAAAATTCTTTGTATCTTGTTTAGTATCTTCTCTATATGGTAAACAACTAATTATATATGTTTGTATATGTAATTTTATTATTTATTTGTTTGTTTGTTTGTTTGTTTGTTTATTGGTAGTGCTGAGGTTGGAACCCTGAACCTTGAGGATGCTAGACAAGCACTCTGCCACTGAGCTACACCCCTAATCCCTAATAAATCTTTTGAAATTATGCATATGTATAGCGTATACATTATGCACAGTGTAGAGAACTCCTAGGTTTTACATGTGTATTCTTGTTTGCTCTCTGTTGCTATGATAAAACACTCTGACCAAAATCGGCTTAGCAGAAAAAGAGGGCTTTTTTTTTTTTTTTTGGCTCACACTTGCAGATCACAATCTGTCACTGAAGAAAGAGCAGGAACTTAACCAGGAAGCACAAGAAGACACTATGATGAAACAGGGCTTGCTATCAGAAACAACTGAGGGACATTTCTCACTGTCTGGCTTGTTCTCTAGCTCATGCTAAGCTCCCTTTTTTATACATCTCAGAACAGCCTGCCCAAGGAATGGTACCACCTTCACTGGGCCCTGCTCTCCTCTGCCACTTAACAAACAAGAGAATCCCACTGACCTCTCTGATGTAGACAGCTCCTCAGCTGAACTTCT